GTGTTGAATAGCTAGAGAACCCTCTGTGCATTTGAGTTATATTAGATAATCTAAAAAATGTGTCAAACTCAAGGCCCGTGGGCCAAATATGGCCTGCCACAGTATTTTATGTGGCCCGCGAGAAATTCAAAGATGCATTAACGTCTTAAATAAGCTTATGCTGCTTTAAAACCAGCACTGACCATAAACTACATCTCCCATGATGCATGTCAGTTATTTTCTCCGCGAACCAACAGCATCCCACCACTAGGTGGAGAGACACAGGGTTTAAGAATAACTAGCAACCAGCAAAATTTGACATGTAAAATTTCCATTTCACTGCATTTTCGATCTCCTGGCGTTTATAAGAGGACGTTTGATAAACATTGTTTCTATGCATGAAATACCACGTAGAGCTCAGTTATTGTTTGTTAGTTGCTCATCTGTAGCGGTGAGACGAGGAACGTGACGTTTCGTGTTTAGTTGAAGTTAAACACGAATCATAAAAATTTATTACAATTACCGCTGTAATGCTCATGTGGCCCTTGTTGAAAAGGAGTTCAACACACCTGATGTAAAACAATTTTTCAAAATGTGAACATTTAATAACATTTAGATACTTTTACAAATACCGCCCAAGTAAGTAAAGTTTATTTATATAGCACCTTTCTTGGATTAAAAAAAATCAGAGCGTCACAATAAAAGCAAGAAAAAGCATGATATTAATAATATTATTTAAAAAATTTTGCATTTAAAAAGCTCAAAAGATTACACTGCTGTACTTTTTGCAGGATTTGCATGTTAATATCAAAATAAGCACATCGAAGTGATATTGCGATGTCGCACTGACTGTTTTGCTTTGTTTTTGTTTTTATAACCTTTTTGTGCGTGTTCAGTGATTTTAAAAAAAGCACGATGACAGGATAGTGTGGGGGAAGAGGAGTGAGATGAGGTCATTCAAAGGCACCAAACAGAGGAAACAATCACATTTCTGTCAGGAAAGAAGCTTCAGTCAGTTCAGGTCGGGGCAAGATGGGCAGGAAACTGCATGAGCTTCGTGTTTGGGCATAAAACACCTTGCAGAAGGTTTTTTTCCTCTTTCTGAGACAGATTCTAGCGTTTCACTTTTTCACAAGACAACGATGAAAATGACACGTTGTGTCTCAAAAACACTCCTAAACGAGACTTGCACAAAGTTCGTTTCAGTTTGTGTTTTCTTCGAAATGCCTCAGTTCCTCTCCAGACACTTGCAGCAAACCCTGACAGCAGTAGCTGGTTTGGAGGATACAACCATTTCCTCTCCTCTGGTGGCTGCATCCTGCCTCTAGGTGCATCTTTGGGCCTGTGCGTGTCGTTGTTTTGGCTCGTGCACGCACGCGCATCCTTTTAAATCTACATCTGCTGCAGTCCTGATTTACGCTTAACAGGGAACAAGGGAAGACATCTGGATGCAAACAGTGACGGCCTCTATTAACAGTCGCCACAGCAGGGCCACAGTGACATCATAGCGGGGCAGTTGCAGTGATTTGTGCCGGAAAACARACAGACACAAATAGAATCAAAGTGAAAAGTGCTGAAAGAGTGTGGGCTGTTCAGGCTCGTGTTTAATTTTTATTTTTGAGTGTGTGTGTGTGTGTGGAAAAAAAATGATCTAACAGTTCTTTACTATTTCAAGTCTGCATCCTGAAGTAAAAGTACTTTGATGTAATGATTCACATTTTCACTTCCAAAAAAAGGGGTAAAGAATCTGTGCAGGGAGTTTGTCAAAACAATCTGTGATTTTTAAAGTTTGCGTCGCCTTTTTTCAGATCCGCCACGCTGCTGCTAACGTTCTGCGAGAGTGCTGGCTCCTGCATCGTGCGAACCTGAGGAAAGGCAACCACGGCGAGCACCGGAGGCACCAGCGATGCCTTCTGGAAGCCATCAGAGTGTGAGTTCCTCCCTCAGGCGGGATGAGAGGCCTGTTTGCACCTGGGCAAAGAGATGCAGGAGGGCGCCGCTTTGTCCCGTGTCTGTTTTACCAATCATTATCTTTCATGTCAACATGCCTAACCACAGAGTCCCCGATCATAACAGATCATTTAGGTTACTCATAATCACCTGCTGCCTGCATGTTTCGCAGGTCTGAGCATCTGTCTGTTACCAAAATAGCTCATGAMCCACTGAGCAGATTTTAATGAAACCTTCAACAACTAATCTCTGCCAGTGGATCTACAACTGATTAACATTTGGAGCAAATTTGTTTCGAAATGAGTGCCACAGCCAGCTCACCTTTAGAAAGCACCAAAGAATTCGATCAGTTTTACAAATATTGCACTTAAATTTGGTGACTTTGTAGCTGAGTCATTCACAACACATTCTCTGAGTGCTACTCATAGTGTAAGACATTAGCTTAAAACTGCAGCATTAACTGTTYATRTCAACTCTGCTTGTCTGTTAGCAAAATATCTCATGAACCACTAAATGGATTTKAATAAAACTATAAGAAAACAATCATCGGATGTACATCYAGAACTGATTAACTTGTGGAGTCGTCTCAGCTCAAGAYGGCCTCCACAGCTAATCTACATGAAWAAAATGTAAATTGGAGAGAACTCTGACAATTTTACARATATTAGGCTAAAATTTGGTGTGGTAGTAAGTGGAAGTGACATCTCTAAATACTGCATGAATTCACATGTAAAGTTGTGTTCAAGGTTTGACCAAAACAGCTAYAATTTAAGATAATCTTAGTCTAAACCTCTGGCATGAATGTTGGTGGGTGATATGTATTCCTTCAAGAAACGCTTGACGTTTTGATTACATTTGTTTACAGGGGTTGAGTTGTGAGTGTGCGAGTGATTTACTTTAGATTCTGATGAAAATATTTTACCTGCATGAGGTTGAAACTTCTTCTTACCGAGACCCCGATTTTTAAGAGTAAGCAGAAGTTTAGCAAAGTGGTCTATGTAAGAGGATTAYGGAGCTAAAATGGAGCCATAAAGTTTTTTTCATAAAATTTTATTTGAAACTGAAAGAAAAATTTTGAAACTGAAGTGTTTTTTTACATATGTTATGCTTTTGAAAAATAACGTTTCACTGATATAAAGTTGCTTAACACGACACAAATCTCATTGACGATCACATAAACAGAATATTGATGTTTCAAAGACATTTCCAGCTCCCGTGGTTCATGAATGCAACAGCTGGGAAATGTTTTGTCTAGACCAGGGCTGCCCAAACATTTTCCCCGAGAGGACCAAAATGAAAATCTATCGGGGGCTGCGGGCCAAATGCAGAAATATAATACATGAAATACAAATACGTTTTAAGTAAAATCCTTTATTTTTAATGATTAAGCTATCAGCCAGTGTGGTGGCCTGCTTTTGTTTTAGTCTGCACACTTGGAGAAAGTCTGCCATACACTCAAGCAGCAAAGGCTCATGGGACATTTCCTAAACTGATAAAATATGAGTTTTTGTGGCCTAAYAGAGTGGTCAAATCTACATGTGGGGTTAAATCTAAGCTAAATATATCTTGTTGTTACTTTCTGTTTTATATTTAATCTTAATGTATCAAAGATAAAGTCAGCACCATGAATGAAAACTACCTTCAGCCCTTTACATAGTCATTTGACCAGTGGAAATCCTGTGTTTCTAATAGGATGACAGGTTAAAACCTTGTAACTTTGGCACCTGTTGGTGGGCCAAATCAAATGGCTTGGTGGGCCAAATTTGGCCCTTAGGCACAATTTTGGGCCCCTCTGGTCTAGCCTGTGTTTAGCTGTCAGTCAAGATTCCACACTCACTGTCATCAGAGGCCCCGCCCCCACGCCGAAACTGGGCCTGAAGCTTGAAACCAAAATAAAAATCTCAAACTGAAAAAAGGAAATACAATCTGACAAGAAGTTTAAAACTTTTTTTTCTCAGTTTCAAATTAGTTTTTCAGTTTCAAATTTTTATTTGTTGTTGCTGTTGTTGTTGTTGTTGTTGTTGTTGTTGCTGTTGCTGTTGTTGTTGTTGTTATGGTTTATGGCCCCAATTTGGCTCCATAGGGGAAACCGAATGTCTGCCTGTGTGTGGACTGAATCATTACAAATTAACTGTGTGGAAAGAATGAGCAGGAGGAACCAGCACACCTTAACAGTACAATATAAAGAGACTCCATCACCTCATCRCTTTTATGTTCTCAGAGGCTAATTCTGGGTACTGGGGTTCCCCCTCTGGTTTCATCCCTCTGTGATGCTAAATTTATCTCTTTTCCACCTCTGGATTTCAGAACAACCCCCCGGC